ATTGGAAAAATACTACTGGTGGATAGAAACGAAAGGAGATGCAGCAGTTTCAAGAAAAATGGTCTGAAGATTAATTTTTTTCTTGCACAATGATAAGCCTGTTTGCTTTTAATTGAATCCTTTTCAGTAATGAAAGCTAACCGCAAATTTGGAAAAACAGCAGCAAATGTCTCTTAATCTAGGGACACAATATGATTGTGAAAGCTATTTTTATAGTTAGTTCAAAATTGTCTATACAAACCGTTGTACAAACAACATTGACTGACCGTATGGCTAGTTTTAAATCATTTTCCATAGCATTAGACGAGAGCATCGATTTGTCCGAACAGTTCAATTGGTTATATTTATTCCAGGTGTTGATGAAGTTCAAAAGGTATTCACAAGTTCAAAAGTATTCACAAGTTTTGGCTTGCCAAGATCAAAATTAGTAATAGTATGCACAGAAACTACGCACCTTCTACGGTCGGCTTGCCTAAATGTTTCATCGGAATTTTGAGTGGAAAAATTGAATTAAATGTTAAAAAACATAATATCATAGTCCTTCGTTGCATTATCGACCAACAAAACTAAAGTTTTTTCGACTCCAGAATGAATGTGGTGATAAAAACCATCAATTTTATTTGATGTCGAGGGCTTAATCATTGTCAGTTCAATGCGTTTTTGGATGAAATATCAGCGGCGTACCACATATTATTGTGAAGTCAGATCACTAAGTAAAGGAAAAATTCTGCGAACTTAGAAATGAATTTTTACGCAAATATAAGATAAGCCAGTAGCAAATAGATATGTGACTTATGGTCGACCTTACACGTTATTTGAATGATTGAAATTTGAAACTTCAAAAACAAGGACAGTTATCTAACGATTTGTACAGCTATTTGAAAGCTTTCCAGGACAAAATCGACTGGTAAGGCACCGATGCTCTTTGGTAACAGCTCCAATTTCACCACACTCTCTGCGCATGAAAATATTGCTCATGCAATATGTTGAAGAACTCAAGTCACTATTGAATTGATTTTCCAAAACATTTAGCTATTTGAAAAGCATGGAAGACTGTTTCAATTTATTTGCTACTCCAGCAATAACTGGAGTATAAAATGATTCACAGGTACATAATGTCAAAAACAAAATGATTATAAAAATTGATGACACTCCTATACCATACTCAGATACATCGAAAAGTTTAGGATTGATCTTGGACTGTAGCACATGGGAATTTAAAGTTAATTTACAGTCATAGACATTTTCTTCCAATTGTTACAAGGAAACTACTTTGTGAATCCGTCGTTCTGACAGTTCAATCATTGCTGTGGTGATTACGCAACCTGAAAATTGGTACCATTTAATATTTTGTAGTGTAATAATATGTATATTTGACGCAGCAATAAATGTGCTTATTATTATTTTTATTGTTATTAAAATACTATAATAACTTGCAATTGGAGTTGATCGAGATTTAGGAAAATTCGCTGCTAAAATCTAAATTTCAAGACGTGGAGTTATTTGATTTCTACAAAAAATACCTCGACGAAGACCATTTTCCGCAGCTTAGAAAATTCGCAAGATTTGTGCGTTTTGCTGTTTCAATGATGATTGGTAATAAACAAAAACAGCGTACAAGGTTGACTGACGACTGTTTGGAAAATTATTTACGTCTTTGTATCGATGGATTAGTTTCCCAAGTTCAAGGTCAAGTGTCTCATTGACTTTGGTGTCGCTATTTAACTTTCATAATTTGTAAAATTTCACAATTTAATTATATTATTGCATTTTTTTCCCTTTCATTTTGTTTTTTTAATAAATTATGTTGTAATAACATGTCTGATATCTCTCGCTAAATGTATTTACACATTAAAGTGACTTTGTTTTGAGTTTGGTTTTGCACTTAATTTTGTCAAGGTATCTTGAAATATGTCAATACGTCAATGACTCGTTTACTAATCGCTCGCTTCGTTGCCCATCGATTCCCAACCTTGCTCTAACCTGAGCTATTCTCTATCAAACTCCTATATTCGTTAGTGCTTTTGGGATCCCATTGGTGAGAATCGAATTTGCCTCTTTCTACTATTGCAGCTTGTTTATGGAAGTAAAAATGCTAAAATATATTCTCCAGGTTACATCATCACTTATCATCACCAATCATACTGTGGGCTTCTTCAAAGCTTAACTAAAACTGACTCGCATTCTACTCTGCTAAAGGAGGGGCATGAACATTAACTCGGATAACTGATTCTCCTATTGGTGAACTGCAGTTAAAATTGTTTTGTTGTTTTTTTTTTTTGGTAGAAGGTTGATTGCATCCAAGAATTTTAGTTTTATTGAATGCCAAATTGCAATTTTAAACATCTAATAAAATTTGATTTGAAGCCGCAAAAATCCTTAAAATATGCAAAGCCTGTACGCATAGCTCTAAAAACTCTAAAAGCTAATGCCGACACGGTAATTCTAACAAAGGTGGTCAAGAACACAACTGACTATCGGGAAAAAATTGAAGACATTCTTATAGACGGATCCTACGTGCACACAAAAAAGGTTCTACGTCACCTATGGAACGTAATTTTAAATATGTTATTAGGGCTTCTTCTTTTTTGGAAGCCGCGAAAAAGTCTGTCCCCTCATAACTCTAAAAATTCTCGTCTCTACGGACAGCTTTAGATTCACAAACCAATATTCTCTCCGTGATATTTTTAGCCATATAAACTCTATATGCCCTCATTCAGAAACTAATATGAATTGAATAGATTTTAATTGAAATCAGTCCTAGCATTGGGTCATTCTGTTTACAAAAAACCTATGCACACATATTGCACCTCAATGCATTTTCACACCATCATCCTGCCCAAAAATCATCGGTTATCAACTCTTTTGTTTACAAAGCCGTAAAACTATACCTCGAAATAAACTAGAATTAAAACATCTTACCTCTCTAATAATTTTCACATTAGAGATATTAAGCGTTCCATCACAAAATACACTTCACCACAACCTTCGAAAAAGTAACCCTACACTTACCATTGTTGTCCTTTCTTACATTCAACATACAACTGACTATATATTAAAAGTTCCTAAGAAATACAACGTAAAAATCAGATTTACAACTTGTCCAGAAATCTCTCAACATATTCGATCCGTCAAAGACAAAATTTCGTTTGAGATATGCATTCCATGCATATACGGCAAAGAATACAAGAGACAGGTCGAAAAATATCCACTAGGCTAAAAGAACGTGAATGGCCTTACGACTATGACAAATAAAGTCATCCGTAGTTGCCGAATACCATCATGGATGGATAGATAGATAGATAGATGGTTTATTGACTACTTTACAATATCATTTTTTGTAGCAAGTCATACAAAGGAAAAAAAATTAAATATATCTATTTTTTTTAAAATGAAATATGTGTAAGTATATGCTAACATAAAATTGTATATAACGTCATAATATACTAAATCTAGATATAGAATGTATATAACTTCACAATAAAACCTAACAGGACAACAAATAAAAAATAAATTTAATTATAACAATCATTAAAATAAATCATTAAAATATAATTAATACACAACGCCCCGCAACACGTCATTACCGATGTTTTCTTCAAAAAATGCACCAACGCTATAATAGCCCTTACTTAGAAGAAAGCTTTTAATTTTATATTTAAAATGTTTTTCGTTTAAAAGTTTAAAAGATTGTGGCAATGCGTTATAAAGTTATAAAGTGTTCGTTAAAATTTGAATTTGTAATTATCCGTAGTGCCTTTTTTTGTATCCTAAATATTTTAATAGCATAAGAGGAGTTACCCCAGGGTATGGTGGCATAGTTTATACGCGAGTGAAATAAACCAAAGTAAGTTGACTTCAATACATCAAAACTCACCATTCTGCGAAGTTGCGAAGTCAGCAAGTTCGACTCAACAACAACCGACGCTGGAGAATCCAGAGGATTTGTAAATATTCTCTAAGCAGTTTAATAAAAAAAAATTAAAATATCGTTTGCTAAACAGGTCTATAAGTTAATTTTTATTACAAAAGGTGGTAGAATCACCTGAACGTGATGTGCTTTATTTACTATAAATCATTTTCAAACGATTTCAATTATGAAAGAGATTGCTATCTGCGTGTTGACGCGGCAACATTGCATTGTTGAAAATATTTCCCAAGTTTGTAGAAGAGCATTTAACATTTAAAGGATGGTCTGATAACTTTTTGTCTTGGCTCTCAATACTAATTGACGAATGGAAATATCAAAGGGGATATATGCCATTTTTTGATATATCATCATTTTGCGTTAGAATAGTCGTATGTGCCCCGCCGTATGTTCTGAGAAAAAGGATATGTACCTATGGTAATAAAATTGAGTAACCTGCATCTGCCTCATTTTTACAAACACCGGCAATTATAACTATGGCTGTAAATTTAAACAGTTTTTCTTGATTATCAAAAAAATGTAATATTGGCACATAACCCCTTTGGAATTTCCGCGCTTCAATTCGTGTTGTTGCAAACTTACTGTTATTAGAAAACCTTAAAAAGTATCCCATTCTTCCTTAGCAATATCCAGCTTTCAATTATTTATTAATGCTATTCATGGTATTCTATTAAAACAAGCATTTGTTTTGAAAAAAGTTGCATACTATTTTTGAAAAGGTGTTCAATAAAATAAAGTAGGGTCTGATAACATTTTGACCTGGCCCTGTTTGGTAATGAAAAGTTATATAAGAGACAGTTTCCACATTTTCGATAAGTAGCCTGGGTACTTGAGATACGAGGAGAATCTGAAAAAGCAATATTTTTAATTTAGCTTTGTATCTTAAAAACCAAAACCGCCTTAAAAATTTCGTTATCGACATCTTTAATTTCACAGAAAATATATACACTGTCGCGAAAATCGCAACTTTTTATCTATAAAAATAACTGAGATACCTCTCAAAAGTACCTAAAATGTATTACATTTTTTTCACCGCCAATGTGCTTTATCGACATCATTATTTTTTTCGTAGATGAAAGTATGGAACACTTTGGAGCAAGATCCCGCGTTCCAACGGCCGACTAGGACGCCCAGCAGTGAGGAGATGAAAAGGCAATCGGCCGTGCAATTGCTTAAGTACTGCCAGTATAATTTCCTGCATCCTGATACGGCCAAATTGTCGTACAAAAGGAAGGTATGTCCTCGCCGCATTTGTTCAATTAAGAAAGATCGTTAAGAAAACTTTTTTTTTTCGAGCGAAACGGGCATTATCCACCACCTAACTAAAATGCCGCTAATAATTCGACAAGGGTAAAACACAACCGGGCATTGTTTTCTGTACAGCTAAAAAAAATTGAACGCTTGTTTTTGTATTTTTGTCATTTTTTTCTAAAAACGTCAACATACCGAGCCTGCAGAGATTTATAACCATAAGTTAATTTTTGTAAATATTCCAACACTTTTGCATATTTAAACCAAATGACCACAATTTTGTTGCAACCAATAAACAACATCGGGTTGTATGAATTATGTGAAAACCTTAACTTATGTATTTATTTAATTTTTGTCATAGATTCTTTTAATTTGATTTTTTCAACTTTCAAAATGTTTAACCCTTGACCCTAAATCCGGATTTTCAATTGATGAATCATAGCAATTGGAGTAATTGACAAATGGACGCAGATTGGCTTTCTCGAACCGTTTGCCTGTTACAGATCAAGTGACACTAAGAATTTTTCGCCGCTCGGGTCCAAATTTTATGTCGACTTTTTTACTTTACCTAATTTTTATGTACAGAGTTATTTTTTATATTTGCGTATCCACCCGTAGGGGTTAATGGAAGTCACCTAGAAAAAGTTTTAATACAAAAGTTTAATATATAGTATAATAATATATATATAGTATAATAAAATATAATAATATAGTTTAATATATAGTATAGTAAGTAGTATATAGTATAATTTTTGCAGTATTCTTTTAAGCTTTTAAAAAACGAATGCGGATCGTTCTTGAATTATTTAAGCTTAAATTTTTGATTAACTAAAAATATGTTAATCAAGTTGACCAGGCGTTGCGCAAATTGAAACCTTCATTTAGGAGAATGGGTTACTCAGAGTAAGAAAAGCTCCAAGTAGTAGTAGTTCGCCTGTTTTATCGCAATAAGTGGCGAAGTCCCTTCGTTATTTTTTGTATAAACATAAACATTGCGAACCGGCAGAGATTTAAAACCAACTAACCCATAAATTAATTTATATAAGTTAATTAATATTCCAACATGCTCCCTCAGAAATTAATTTCAAACTTAATGTAATTATTCCATAAATTTTTGATACAACGTCAAAGTTTAATACAGTTGTTCAACCGCTAGCAATTTGCCAGAAGCGTGTTTAAAAAAAATATTATTCAAAAACAAATTATGTCCTTCTAAAGAATTGTTTGTTGAAGCGAAAGTACTTATATTAACAAAAGCTACATTAAAACAGTCATCAGATTATTAAGCCTTAACAAAATTCTTATAAGGGGTGTTTTTTTTCGATGTATAGAATCTTGTGGCATTACATTTTAAATATGATTTCTGCCATATGACCGCCACGGCTGACGCGGATATAGTCCAATCTGGACGTCCAATTTTCGATGACTTTTTACAACATTTGTGGCTGTATATCGGCAATAACACGGCGAATGTTGTCTTCCAAATGGTCAAGCGTTTGTGGCTTATACGCATAGACCAATGACTTTAAATAGCCCTACAGAAAGTAGTCTAGCAGTGTTAAATCACAAGATCTTGGAGGCCAATTCACAGGTCCAAAACGTGAAATTAGGCGGTCACAAAACGTGTCTTTCAATAAATCGATTGTGGCACGAGCTGTGTGACATGTTGCGCCGTCTTGTTGAAACCACATCTCCTTGGACATCATGGTTATTCAATTCAGGAATGAAAGAGTTAGTAATCATAGCTCTATACCGATCACCATTGACTGTAACGTTCTGGCCATCATCGTTTTTGAAGAAGTACGGACCAATGATTCCACCAGCCCATAAAGCGCACCAAACAGTCAGTTTTTCTGGATGTAACGGTGTTTCGACATACACTTGAGGATTAGCTTCGCTCCAAATGCGGCAGTTTTGTTTGTTGACGTAGCCATTCAACCAGAAGTGCGCTTTATCACTAAACAAAATTCGCTTTTAAATATTGGGAACAACGGCAATCTCGTTTTGGGCCTATTCGACGAATCTACGCCTTACTTGATGATCGTTTGGCTTGAATTCTTGCACGAGTTGGATTTTGTAAGCACGCAAACCAAGATCCTCCCGCAAAATCTTCCATAAAGTGGATAGATACAGATCCAATTTCTGTGCTCTATGGCGGATGGACTCATTCGGGTCTTCCTCATTGCTACGCTCTACAGCAGCAATAGCTTCTTCTGTACGCACCGTACGGCGTCTCTCGGGATGCGAGTTATCAATAAGAGTAAACGTAGTGCGAAAACGTTCCATGGTTAATCGAATTAACTGCTCTAATGGACGATTTTGTCGACGATAAAATGGACGTAGTGCGCGATACGTATTCGGCACAGAACCATTATTTTCGAAATAAAATTGCACTATTTGCAAGCGTTGTTCAGGCGTGAGTCTATTCATGATGAATTGCCAAACCAAACTGAGAATAAATCACTTGACAGCTGTTAAATCGGTCGCCATCTTGAACAGTAACGCCAACTTAAAGTTCTATACATCGAAAAAAAAACACCCATTATATTTTCAAAATTGTGAATATACAAAAATTAAGTAGAAAACTATTGGTCGTTTAGTGTTGGATAATGACATTATAAAAGTGATAACTATGAATAAAATTGAGTGGGTCATAAATTTAATAACAAATTATCAAATGTTTGATAAAGACACGGTGTTGTCGAAACAGTTTTCGTTTTCGTGAAAATCTGAACTTTTAGTTCTTATTTATTTTGATATCGATATTTACTGATTACTCTAGGCCTTTTAATTATGCACACTCCATTTTTAAAAATTCCAGAACTGGTCTCATAACAAAATATTTAATTAATTTCTCGGTCTTTTAAAAAGAACCCACTCGGAAGGTTTTAAGGCCACTAACTATCGACTGTATATACAGGTTGTCTTGAAATTAGACGTTAATATTTTAACCACGTATTCTGCGACCCAAAATAAGGATAAGAGTTCATATTAACTAGGGTTCAAAACGTCTTAGTTTTTAACATACATTGTGTTAAATTTGAAAAGATGAAGGCGATTTTTTGTAATTATTTTCTAAACTCGTAGATATTTTTAAATAAAATTTGGTACAGTTACTAAACTTTTTAGGCTCTATGTAACGAACTAAAACTTAGTATTCAATTGTCTTCAGGGGTGGGTGACACGGGAGACGCGTGTGAAAAATTTCCTAAAAGGGGGGCGCGAATGAGGGGTATAAACACCGTCTCGGATGACTGATTCCCAAATTGGTGACAGATAGAGCCTGAGTCGCGGTTAAGATTGTTAGGTTGTTTATAGATTTCTATAGACGCTCGGATTTTTCGTTGGTAGAATAACTGATTACATGCAAGAATTTTAGTTTTATCGAATAAAATTTTATGCCCGGTTTCATGAGTGTGTTCGGCAACAGCTGAGTTTATTTCTCTTAGTCGTAAGGTTCTTTCGTGTCCTTTGAGCCTTGTTGAAATTTTTCGTCCGGTCTCTCCAATGTATTCTTTGCCGCATATGCATGGAATGCTGTAAACTCCTGGCACCTCAAATGGAATTTTGTCTTTGACGGACAGCAGATGTTGAGAGATTTTTAGACAAATGGTTAATCTGGTAACCAAAAAGGCACTCCAATGAATTCATAGTGACCAAATGAAGCTGAGAAAGCAGTTTTGGGTATGTCCTCATCTTTCAATTTTATTTGATGAAATCCATTTCTGAAATCTAGAGTAGTGAAGTAGGTAGAATGTCTTAGTTAATCAAATATGTATTCAACATTTGGGATTTTGTAAGAATCTCCTACTGTGACATTATTTAATTTTTTGTAGTTCCATTTTTTTTAGTACAACCAAAGAGGGCTACAATAAGAGGGTCGTATAATGTCTTATTTTATCTTTTTTTTATTTACTTTTTACAAAACTTCTGGATTCCTCCTGTGTCGGTTTTTGCTGAGTCGAAATTGCTGACGTTTCTCCGATCATTCTGTTGGCTTCTTCAGAGCTTGACTGAAACGTCAGCAATTTCGACTCAGCAAAAACCAACACAGGAGGAATCCAGAAGTTTTGTAAAAAGTGGAAGTTTCTTTGAAAAATTGATTTTTTTTTAATTTTAATGTTTACAATCGAGGTGCAGATAATCATTAGTAAGCCTTGGAAGTTAATGACGCGTTTCATTTGTTTGTGTTGCTGGGTAAATAAAAATTAAAAGTCAATTATTAGCTTTAAATTTTGTTCGCCGTTGGTGAAAAATAGTTTTCACTTGGATTGTTCTTATAAATCCTTTTATTAACGAAAGACAAATCAAACTATCAATTGTAAAGCTAATTATTCTAATAAAAATTATAAACTTTACATTTTAAAGAAGCTGCTCAAAAACGTTGCCTTGCTCGCGACGGCAAAGTCGGGTTCTACGGCTAATCGCATGTGAGGCACGTGAAACTTCGATAAGGTTTTGTCGAATTTGATTTCCTGCCAAACGTATCCTTTCGCGCAATACTTTCTCCACCAGCTGTGATTATTTGCACCTGGATTGTAAACATTAAAATAAAAAAATAATTTGTAATTACATTTTCAAAAGCATTTTTCTTGAAAACGGTGTGTTCTAGCGAGGTGCGACAAGGGTACCTTATTTACATAGAACACTTCAGATTTTCAAATTCTCCAAAATCGCCATCACCTCTTCAAATTCTGTATGTTAAAAACTAAGACGTTTTGGACTCCACTTTATATAAACTTTTATCCATATTTTGGGTCACAGAATACGTGCTTAAAATATTGACGCCTAATTTCGGGACACCGTCATATTTTAAAATGCTTTTAAGGCAATTATTTGGACCGCACAAGACGCATAACCTTGCACAGTAATTTCATTGATAATGTCACAAAGTCTCTTCGTTATTTTTTATATGAACAAATTTTATTTTGTAAATATTCCAACACTTTTGCGCATTTAAAGAAAATGACCACTTTTTTTTTA